AAGCTATTTCCACTGCTAATGAAATTAAGACTTCCATGTGAACTGCAGGCAATTTGGTTATGGAATGTTATATTCTCAGAACCGAACCCATACAACTGGTTCTATTCCTATGTCTTTAATTCTAACATAATCTCAGAGCAGTGGAGCAATTTGAAAAACCAAAACAAACCTCCCTAGCTGAGCAGGAGAGCTAGAAGAGGAAATGGTATTGACTGCTTTAGTTTTAAGAGTATAAAGCACCTAGACAAAGGAAATCTACCCAGAACCGAGGGACACGCTTAACAGGCATTTTGACCTCAAGACTGAAAAGTGAGAAGCTAAGAAAAGCCACAGTTTATCCTCAAAACTGAATTCAGGGTGAGTCGGGTCCATCTTAGTTATTGTTTGTGTATGAGAAAAAGAAGCAATAATGAGAAAGAGGCCTAATAAGACTTAGAGATCCCTACTTTTTTAAGTTTTCTCTAAGACAGTCCATTCTACTGAATAACATTAAGTTCAGCTATTTTCATATTTACATCTCTAGCAAATAAACTTAAACTGGATTAAAGTCGCAAACTACTCAAGTAAAAGTCGCCTTCCTGACAGATATCTTCATGCCCCAGGAGCAATTACCCAAATTTACAGAATAATTATTTCACATTACAGGCCAATTTCAGGATCTGAAAATCTAAAGTCATGAAGTGATGACAAATGTCATATCACAACATAATTCACAATTATCTATGTACAATATCAACATGAACTGATGCACTTTTCAATTCCTACACCAAATCCTAAACCAATTATCAATAACATTCAAAGTTAAAGAAAATTCCCAAAGAGTTCAATTCCAGGTTTTTAGTGATGGCACTATAAAGTTTTACGTAAATATGGCAACTGCCCTATTTCCTAACTAGAAAACACCTTCCCCTCTGGAGCCCATCATGGATCTGTAATCTTTTTACATAGTACAGAATTACAGTGAGAATCATCAGAGCAACATTATATTTGAAATAAAAGGTTTAAAAAAGAAAAAAAAGCAGCTACTTGTCTGCTTAAAACTGTTATAAACTCTTTAAGAAAAATGTCCCCAAGAGCACCTGGGTGGCTCAGTTGGTTTAGTGAATGCCTTCAGCTCAGGTCATGATCTCTGACCCCACAGGATCATGCTCCTTGCTCAGCAGGGAGTCTACTTCTCCCTCTGATTCTCCCCCTTCTCATGCTCTCTTTCTCATTCTCTCTCTTTCAAATAACAAAATCTTAAAAAAAAAAAAAAAAAAAAAGAAAGAAATAAAGAAAAATGTCACTGTGAACCTTTTCTTAAATCAGCTACACATTCCCTTACCTCCCCTTCAGAGTTGACCATTCTCTCCCTATGCTCCTACAGCATCCCTCTCATGTAACACAAGTCACATAATACTAGAGCTTTTTACTACATATCTGTATCCCCACTAGATCTGAGCTTCATAACAGCAAAGGAATCATCATCACCTTCATGCTTAACATGTAGACACCCAAATGCCAGGTCAATAAAATCCCAATTAAATAAATAAATGAAGCCCAAGAAAATATGCTTTGGTGGGAAAGGGTTTATTTGCTGTGGGTTTACTGACAGATGGAAAATTGAATTTCAAATATTCATGTGGAGATTGTGATTAAGTCAAATCAGTATCTGACAATAAGACTAAAATCTTAAGACTAAATATGCTCTTGTTTAGCCAGTTCTGTTAACTGTTTAGCTGGTTAGCTAAGAGCTAACTCTGTTAGCTAAGAGCTAACTCTGTTAGCTCAGAGTTTAGCCAGAGTTCTGCTAACAGGAGTAGACATGTGACCTATTTTAGAGATCCTAAAAGGACAACTTCAAATCTCCATTCTTTTCCCTCTAGCAGCTCCTATTTACTTTCCTAGAAACCACTGCCCACAGAGACAAAGACCTTCCACCCACCCTTGGCCCATCAGACCCAATTAGAGCGCTACTGACCTGAGCCATCAACTTTCCTACTCCTTACTGGAGAACACTTACTTCTACAAGGCACTGGAACCATACTCTGCTTCTAAATCATCCACCTCCCCCAGGCAGATGTGCGAAGAATCAGCCCTAAGAAATAATCTGTTAAACACCACATAGCACTTAAGATGCCTAAACACAGAATTAGTGTCAAGCGGTCTTTGTGGGTGCTCATAAGAACCCAAACTTCCTTTATAATATATTAATATTGCTTATATTACAAAATGTTCTGTTCTAAATAACCATCTTATAAAGTTAACTTCTAATACTCCAGTTCCTATACTGAAGACTACCTGTGGGGTATCACGAAATAGTTGGTGTGTTCAACAATTTAAAAACTTCAAATCAGTTTTCATGTGGTAAGTAAATTAGAATGTAAGCCTGTCAAATCTAATAACCACGAGAAGTTTTCAGTGAAGTTCTAAGACAACAAACACATGGTCCTCACCCCCAGTTCCACCTACTCTCATTAACTAGAAATAAATTTTAGTATTACAGTTCACCTGGAGGGGTGCCTGAGTAGCTCAGTGGGTTAAGCATCTGCCTTCAGCTCAGGTCATGGTCCCAGGGTCCTGGGATTGAGCCCTTCATTGGGCTCCCTGCTCAGCAGGGAGTCTGCTTCTCCCTCTCCCTCTGCAGCACCCCCCATTTGTGCATGCACGCACTCTCTCTGTCCAATAAATAAATAAAATCTTTTTAAAAAAATACAATTCACTTGGAGATGACTTGCTGGAAGAGAAGAGAAAAGCCAAGTTTGCCACAGTTAAACCTGGAAGTGTGTGTACGAGTTGTAAGTGGGTTAAGGAGACGGTGTAGAAAAGTTTGCAACTGATCTGTCCTCCCAGCAACCAAATGATCCATACAGCTACTAAAGATTAGTACTAGGAGGGCAGAACTCCTGCCAAAAACTGACTTCTAGGGTGCAGGTAAGGCAAATGGGTTTCACACCACTATTAGATACTTTTTGAAAAAGAAAAAGTTTTAGAAAAGTAGTAACTCTTGGTCTACCATAGTGCAAACCAAGTCCCTTTTGGTTTAATCATACAATATAAAGATCTCACGTAAGCACATACTTGAGCATATATCTAAATGTATATATATATATACACACTTTTATATATAGATACATATATAGAGACAGAGACACACAAACACACACTTAGATATATGCTCTGGTATATACTTATATATTTAGGAATGGTATTCCAGCTATGTTATAAACAGCACTATGGAAGTATCTGACTTTCAATTCTGACTATTCTGAAAAACTATTTTTCTACTTTGAAAATGTGTAGAATGAATCATATACAATAGGAAATCTTCTGTAAACCAGAAAATTTTAAAACAAGTCTGTTACCCCTGTGAAAATCTTAACTTTAAAACAAAGGATCTGGAAAAAATGACAGTTCCAGCTAGTTTGTTCCAAGCACTTAAATAACTCGGGGTTTTTATTTCCTCTATTAAAAATATTTGTATCAAAAATACTGACAAGACCAACTAAGAGTTGTTTTTCTAAACCTCCTGCTTTTGCAGTAACTGCCTTATTTTTGTAGTTCTTCTAAAAGTCTCAACGTCTAACTAAAGCAATAAAAGCTTTAATATAGGTTGCAGTGTTTACCTTTTTTTTTTTTTAAGGATCCATCTGTCTCCCATACTAGGCCAATGACTTAAGTCCAATGAAAATGATCCTTTTTTATGCCTGTCAGTTATTATGTCCCTTGCTATTTTTGTACACAGTACACTTACTAATTAACTGAACCTCATGAGGAAGATATTAATGATGGCTGAGACACTCAACACACACACACACACACACACACACACACACACACCTCGGAACTCAAAATACCTCGCAGTCTAGCAAGAGACCTATTTGATTCAAGAGGGGAGGGGATGAACAGAGAGACGGGAGTGCATGGCACGAAAAGTTGCTGGCCAGAGCAGCTGTGCCCAGCTTTTAAGACACTTACTGGTTTGCTAGGGTACACGTTAGATAGATGCGTTTTTAGTTTCCCCACGGTCCAGTTCAAGAAGCAGCTAATAGTCTGGTCACTGTATTTCTGATTTGGTGCTTTAATGATGAGGGTCACAGGAATCTCCATCCCATTTTGGTCCATGGTGCCCCCGAGTTGAACAGTCAAGAGGAGCAGCCCAAATGAGCCGAGGTGGTAACTGCCGGCGCGACTGGCACAGGGACGGCAGCAAGTAGGTTCTTAATATTCCGTGTCCAAGTCAGTCACAAGTGCATCGGGCGATACAAAGGCCATTGCCGGTACCAAGGATGATAGACAGTGGCGGCGGCGGGGTCCGGGGACCCGGCCGTGGGTGTAGCTTTCCCCGCCAGGTCCGGGCTCCGCCGGGCTCCGGACTGCGGAGAGACGCCGGGAGGAAGAGAGAGAAAGCAATGATAAGGGAAGGAGTCACTGCCCCGCCCCCGCCGCGACCCCCAAGCTGAAACGCAATAAGGCCCCTACGCGACGGCCCTGCCAAGCGGACCAGAGAAGGGGCCGAGCCGCTCAGGGCGACCCGCCGGGGCAGGGGGTACCTGAAAGAAGGCCGCGGGGCCCGCCACCGCCGCCCTCCGCGCCCAGACAGGGCCGCCGTCCGCACAGTCCCACCGGGCGTCCTCCGCGGCGGCCGCTCCCTTCCTGCTGCTCCGCGGCGGCCACAGCCCGGCCCCGGGTCTCGCGAGGCGGCGCGGTGGCCGCGGGATAAGTTGGCCAAAGGGCGCGGTCCGCTCTCCGCCTGACCCCTCGGGCCTGACACGGCAGCGCGGCGCAGGGCCGGGCGCGGCCAAGGCGGCGGCAGGTGGCAGGAGGGCGGGGACTAGAAGCCCAGGGTCCCGGCGCGAGCGCGCTGGTTCTGTTGTTGTTACGAGGAAAGTCCGGGGCCCCTTTAAGCCGGAAGGCGCAGGACGGAAGTGCGTCACGCGCGGCCCGCCCCGGCGCCCGGCTTTGGCTCTGTAGTCGGAGCCCCCCGCCGCCCCCTGACCGCCCGGGGAAGAGAGGGCTGAGCTCCGGGTCGCCCCGAAGCCGCTGGGCTGTGCTGGAGCCCACCTGGCCTGACCGCTCGCTTGGTCCCGTCCCCCGGCCGTGCTCAGGCCTCACCACGAGCTGAGCTGGCGCTAGCAAGTCCTGTTTTGACCACACCCTGAAGACTGGAGAAGTGTTCTCCACCCTAAGAGTTTCTCTGCAGAAGTTAGTGTCCTTCAAGATGCCGAATCAAACTTCCGCTCCAAATGTCGTGTCGACTGTCTGCAAAGCACGGTACCAGGACCTTTGGTGGAGGAGAGGCCCTGGGGTACTCTGCGTAGGGAGCAAAGGCTTTCAGTGAAGCCTGAAGCCTGCCTTTACTTTCCGTGTGACCCTGGCTATCCTTTCTGAGCCTTGGTTTAGTTCTCCAAACGGTAATAGCTATCTAACTGCGTGTTGATGAGCACATGAGCCACGTATGTAAGCCATCTGGTACAGTTCAGGCATATGACAGTATCTCAGATGTTAATTTCCATCTCTTTCTTCTTAGTCTTCACAGAAGTTGGCAAGTGTTTACTGAGCCCCTACTGTGTGTTTCGTTCAGTGGGAGATGAAGAAAGATGGGAGTGTTATTTTTCTGTTTCACGGCTTGGGCATAGAACGCAAAGGTTTTGTCCACTGCCCAAAACTGACTTATTCACCATTTTCTTCACGGGTTTGGGGATCAGTACAGCAAGTTAAAGTTGGACGTGCATTTTACACTTCCACTTACAGGACAAGACAAGCAGATAATAAAGAGAGCTAGTCTTTTTCCCTCTCGCCTTCAGAAGGGTTAATGAAGGTTAGGTACCATTTAGTGACCAAGGATGAAACTTCCTCTATAGCTAATGCAGCAGGATCCCTTACACGCTCACTTCCTTCACCACCTTCTTTGTGGTAGGACATCCACCGTATTTGAGCCATACCTTCTAAATGCTCTTCAGAAATAAGAGTGAGGCCCCCTTTATTTTTTATGATGTATTGAGGATAGCTTACTATGACTCAGGTTTTCTGTAGCAGACCCTGGTCTCTTTCTACCTAGTATTTAGTCAACCTAATGGAACTTTAACTTAATTCTAGCTAAAAATACCTTTTCTAGACTCCTGTATATCTAGGGGTAGTCCATTTGACGCAGCTCCAGCCAATTAGACAAAAGTTGAAGTTGCCACTGGCCCTTTCAAGAAAGCTTTTAGATGGACATGTTCTGTGGGCCAGAACATGTCCTAAACCTGTTTTTTTTTTTTGTTTTGTTTTTTGTTTTTGCTTGAGGAATATGATGCCAGTGGTGCAGCAGCCATAGTTCGGTCATGAAGCAACAAACGGAACAGAGGCCTGCATTCCAAGGATGACAGAGCAGAACAATTTAAAGAGGCTAGATCCTTTATGGCATCATTGTGCGACCATGTAAGTCCATGTAAGCCGTCTGCCCTAAGACTTCTTTTGTGTCCATTTCCTGTTTGAGCCAGGAAGTTTCTGCAACCACCACCACCTAATTCTGCAACTCTTGTCACTTACGCTTGTGACTTAGACTGAGTAATGTGGTCATCTCAGTTGGCACTGTGAAATGTACATTTTTGGTGATATATACATTAGTAATTATTAACATTAAGGCAGAATGTGCATTTCACTGTGCTCTTCACTATTTAAAGCAGAGGTTCACTAGTATGGACAAAAACATTTAAAAATGTAATGAACATTCAAGAGATTGAAATATATGGTTATAAAAATGATATAGACAAAAATGATTTTTTTAAATTTCACAGTCACCTAAGTGCTTTAGAAATGCTTTTGATGCTGTTGAATTTGACCATAACACATGATCCTGGAATGTGATCCCATTTTTGTTAAGTATACATGTGTATAGAACAATGTATGAAAGGATGGTCCCCAAAATGTGGATAGTGTTTACCTTGGAATTTGGGGTAGAAAAAATTTGTTAGCATTGAGGAGATGCAGGATTGCAGTTACTTAAAGACTGCTATGAGCATTGAACTGCCTATTTAGATCATTGTACAAGTTACAGATAAATGGAAATGGGAAAGAACAATTGTACATCTCAGTTACCATTTATTGCTAAAAAAGAGCCTCCAATGAGAATACTTAGGGTGTGATGCTAATAGATAGTAAAGTATTTATGGTGGTTAAGACTAAATATACTTAAGGGGTGCCTGGGTGGCTCAGGGGGTTAAGCCTCTGCCTTCGGCTCAGGTCATGGTCTCAGGGTCCTGGGATGGAGCACCACATCAGGCTCTCTGCTGAGCGGGGAGCCTGCTTCCGCCTCTCCCTCTTCCTGCCTCTCTGTCTACTTGTGATCTCTCTCTCTCTCTGTCAAATAAATAAATAAAATCTTTAAAAAAAAAAAAAAAGACTAACTCTACTTGAACAATATTAACTATTCAGCACACATAATCCTAGTAGATAATTCAGTAGTTCAGGGTGACTTCTGCCCATGGGGTTAAGAAAGTGAAATACATCTAAAAGAGAATTATTTGTAAATCATGAGTTGATTTACAGTATTTGTGGGACATTTTCCAATTCTTTTCATCTTTGGGGTGGGAAAGAAGATAGCTAGATAAGCATATATTGACTCATACTGTGAGATTCCAGTTTCTCCTGAAAATCTAAAGAAAATAAAGTGCTTGTTACTGAACTTCTCTTAACTGAAATTTGGACTATCTTCCAGGAAGGTAAAATACTTTTTGATGTTGAATAATATAGTTTGTGGTGTTTTGATTTTTTTTTTTTTAATAATCTTGAGAGGAAAGACTTCAGTCAAGTGATGATCTTGCAGTTGCAAATTTCAAAGATGATGTTGGCCATCTGGTTTCTGATTCCTTCTATTTCTACTTACACCAAACTTGTCTTTTTTTTTTTTTTTTTTTTTAGGACGCTGTGCCACAAAGTATCTAATCAAATGTTAATCAAGTTCATTGTTTAAAAACAATGAAATCCTACACTTAAAGCCTAGGCAAATTAGCTCGTTTCAACACTACACTTTCAAAATCTTAATGGGTCCCAGATGTTTGATTATAAACCATATTGTGGAAATGGAAGGAAGAAAAGCACACATGCATTAAACGCCAAATGGGTGATTTGAGGGATGTGTCATCTAATGAGTTCTCAGAACAGCCCTGAGAGGTAGTGAGGACAGTGAAGTGCAGAAATGCAAAATGTCTTGCCCAAAATCACATAGCTAGTTCTGACTCCTGTATAATGCAGACTCTTCCCACTACACTGAACTTTCTTATTTAAAGATATTCATACCTACCAAGACACATTCAGGAGGAAAAGGCTTTCAGGAACATCTTAGAAGTTATCTAGATCAGTATTCCGGCTACTGCCAGAATCACCATATCTCTGAAGGGCAGTCAGCCAACTTTGGCTTGAACCCTTCCAAGGAGAAGAAACACTGTTGTTTTCACTACAGCATGACCTGATGTTCAACAGCCATGGTTATTATAAGCGAATTAAAATCTGCCTTCCTATTATTTGCCATTAGACAACTTTTCTCCTCTTGACGAATCTAAAATATGTTTACTCTTATACCACATGCCAGCCCTTCAAATGAATAAATACTCTGACTTCTCCAGACTAAAAAGGCCCAGATCCTTCAGTCATCCTTAAGAATAGTTTCCAGATCACCCAGAATACTGACTCACCTTTGGACACAGTAGTTTGTGTAACCCTCATCAATTATGGTGACTGCAATAAGCATTTAGAAACATAAGTTCCTTAGAATAGTCTTCATAAGGATACATCTGTATTTCTATTAATTTGTGCATTAGTAGAAATCTTCATAAGCTGGTTTAACCGTTGGATTTCTGCTTTTCAGAAACTATGAATCTAGTCGATACTTAGAGTGACCATTTGGCTAAGACTGAAGTCTCTCCCTGATAATTCAATCGAGTGACTTACTTATGACAGTCCTTGGAGGAAATCGTAGCTAAATAATACCTCACTGACTTCTTTAGGTGACGAGAGAAGCGGGGAAGGGCAAATCCCTTATACTTTTCACCCTTTAGAGAATTTTGACTTAAATTTATGGATTGTCTATTGCTGCAAAGCAATATACACCCAAAACCGTGGGTCAGAATTTGGGGAACTGGTTAGCTAGTGGTGTTGGTTTGAGTCTCTCATGAAATTGTAGGCAGGATTTCAGCTGCAGGAATTCAGATTCAATTTTCTGAAGGCCCTGTTGGGATGACTGGAGATACTTCTTCCAAAGTGGCTCACTTGTAAGGCTCACAAGCTGGACTGGTTATTAGTGTGAAATCTCACTTCCTCCCCATGTAGGTTTCTTCACCGCACTGCTCCAGTGTCCTCACAACAGCGAGATTCCCCCAGAATGAGAGGTCCAAGAGACAAAGGCAGAAGCAGGAATGCCTTTCATCTCGGAAGTCACACCTTATCACCTCCATGGTGCTCTGTTGGTCACAGAAACCAGCCCTAAGTCAGCGTGGGAGGAGAGTACGTACAAGCATGAATACCAGGAGGTAAGGACCATCAGTCTCATAGTGGAAGCCATATGATACCACCACCATAATGACCCTTACCAAAGCATAACAGGTCATAGTAGACACCCCGTTCTCTCAATATACAACAATCCAAGTCCAAATCCCAGTCATAGTCTTGTGATTGTTTCACAACTGCTTGCCTTTCCTCTCTCCCCCGCCGCAGAGGTCTTTCACCAATTTCCTTCCCCCCAAATTAGAACCATCCTCAACACTATTGGCTCTATTTCTCAAATGTTTATAAATGTTTACATTTGTTGCTAAAAGCAAATATAGTTGAATTTGGGAATACTACATTTGCTATTCCGCAGTAGTCAAGAATAATCACTAAATTAAACCTGGAGAATAGTCCTTAGGCCTTACCCATGGCCTTATCTCTTAATCTGAGTTCAGAGATGTACCTTGAGTCATCTACAGAACTGTGCACTATGTTCATGTGTGCATTTATCCAGAGAGAGAGTCCATGGTTTTTATTGGTTTCTCGAAAGGACCATTTCTTTTCTTTTTTTTTTTTGTACTGTATGTTTATTTTATTTTATTTTTTTTTTAATTTTATTTTTTTATAAACATATATTTTTTTTCCCCCAGGGGTACAGGTCTGTGAATCTCCAGGTTTACACACTTCACAGCACTCACCATAGCACATACCCTACCCAATGTCCATAACCCCACCCCTCCCAACCCCCCTCCCTCCAGCAACCCTCAGTTTGTTTTGTGAGATTAAGAGTCACTTATGGTTTGTCTCCCTCCCAATCCCATCTTGCTTCATTTACTCTTCTCCTACCCCATTAACCCCCCATGTTGCATCTCCTCTCCCTCATATCAGGGAGATCATATGATAGTTGTCTTTCTCCGCTTGACTCATTTCGCTAAGCATGATACCCTCTAGTTCCATCCACGTCGTCTCAAATGGCAAGATTTCATTTCTTTTGATGGCTGCATAGTATTCCATTGTGTATATATACCACATCTTCTTTATCCATTCGTCTGTTGATGGACATCTAGGTTCTTTCCATAGTTTGGCTATTGTAGACATTGCTGCTATAAACATTCGGGTGCACGTGCCCCTTCGGATCACTGCGTTTGTATCTTTAGGGTAAATACCCAGCAGTGCAATTGCTGGGTCATAGGGTAGTTCTATTTTCAACATTTTGAGGAACCTCCATGCTGTTTTCCAGAGTGGTTGCACCAGCTTGCATTTCCACCAACAGTGTAGGAGGGTTCCCCTTTCTCCGCATCCTCGCCAGCATCTGTCATTTCCGGACTTGTTAATTTTAGCCATTCTGACTGGTGTGAGGTGGTATCTCATTGTGGTTTTGATTTGTATTTCCCTGATGCCGAGTGATATGGAGCACTTTTTCATGTGTCTGTTGGCCATCTGGATGTCTTCTTTGCAGAAATGTCTGTCCATGTCTTCTGCGAAAGGGCCATTTCTAATGCCTTCCAGAGCCCCTAGTAAAATCCAGTCCTCATTGTAAGGTTTTTCCAGTTAAAGGAAATGGGTTATTGAGCCATTTATCAAGTTATTGCCTCAAAAATCCAAAAATACTCTTCACTGCCTGGTTTGTGATAATAGAGATAAACCCTGTAAATATTTCTCCTTCTCTAGCTGTCATGAAACTAAGCTTTGTCAGTAGAGGGCACTGGAGGGACACTAGAGGAAGAAGAGATCTCTCCACCTGTGTAGTGTCGTATTCTTTAGGTGGGCTCTTCCAGCACACAAGGCTTCTGCAGCCCATGCTGGGTAGCAATCCCCATGAGCAACTTCTCCACAAGCCCTCTCAGGCAACTTTGCAGGCAACCCTCATGAACAGCTTCACAAGTGGCTTCACAGTGGAGACCACCAATACAATACCCTCCAGAAGCAGCCGCCCCTCACACCCATTAGGCAGCCTTGAGCAAACCCCTCTGAACTCAAATGAGCCATAATCACTGGACTTCTTTAAAAAAGGGTCCATCTCAGGCCTAAGAGAAATTGGATGATCCCTATATCTGATTTTCCTATATTCTTTAGAATTCTCTTTGTTCCTACTAACCATCTTTTTATTATTCCAATTCCCTGTTAGAAGGAATAATTCTTTATATTTAACCTTCCATGTTCAAAATATTGTTTGATTTCTCTCTTGATTGGACCCTGTTACATAGAATTGGCATCAGTAGTGGTCCCAGGAGATAAACATATAAAGAATTTAGGAATTGTTTTGGTCATGCCTTTTGGCTGAACTCCTGTCACTGGGAAATAAGATAAGGGCATTACAATTAAACTACCACTTGTGGTTGATTGTGACGACATACCAACTGTAGCAAGGGATTGCTCAAGTGTTGTTGTACTTGATCATTATGGCACTTAAGATGCCCATCAAGACAGTGGCATGGGACAGATTCTTCTGAATGCACTTTAGTTCTTACCAAGAGAAAGTGATGAAAAAAAAAATGACAAGTTCATCTTTGAACTCTCAGTTCCAGTCACACCATAAGACCAGAATGCTTCCATGATAGCTATAGAAGAATCTTTTAGTTCTTGCAGACAGAGGGATGATGTTGATGAGAATCATGCACAAAATTTGAAGAGTTGCTAAATTATAGCAATAATTGAATTCACAATCCCATCACATTTTTCACTTAAAAATTAGGGTATTCCACGGGAAAGAATGAGATCCTGAAGTTGGAGAGGGGACATCTGCTTAGACCCAGATGAAACTGACAGTCTTAAACTACAAGTCACTCTAAGGTTCTTCAGTTAATTAAAGTAGCCTGCCCTCAGGAGACTAGCCTTATTGCTTAAAAATTTTGTGATAATCTCAGCTGGGGCAGAGTCCTTAAGAGAGGATGTTTCTTCTCCTCAGGACCCACCATAACCATCTCCTATTGCATATTGTATCTCGTAGACGTACAACTAGGGTTAAATCTCAGCATGTTTCATGATGACAGGTATACACCATGAAGCAGGAAGAAATAGCTTACACACCAAAATACTGGCAAGCCTTTGGTAACCTTTATCAGCAGAAATTGGGAACATGCATGGCTGTATATTCTAAGAGTGTTAGACTGAGAAGGATGAAATACAACACTAGATTGGGACAAATTCTTCAATATGAGTGTACTTCCTAGAGATTCCAGAGTTCATGTGCTAGTTCATAAAACTAATGGTGGCGCTCACAATTTGATTGATTGACTGAAACTTGGACTCAATCATGACCTACATTTAATACAGCTAAGATACCAGAGCTTTCCTGGCATGATGTAGCTAAAGGAATCCAAGGGCCTAGGGAGATAGGAATGTTAAACTCTATCATGTGTTACTTACACACTCACCACCCCCTCCAGTGTTCCATGAGAACACCCAAAAGCACTCACTTCACCAAGATATTGAGAAACCCATTAGCGAGGGGAGCATTCACATGCTTGTAAAGCTCTGTGGTTGCTCTTATTTGTTGACAAAGTATGGCTGAAAGGGATGCTGCCACTGAGATGAACTCCCTAGTATAGTGCCGGATAGGAGACAGCACCCTGAAATGATGGGAATGTTTTCTAGGACACGGTATGTTTGAATCAGCTGCCATTATATGCAGAAAGGCGTGTGAATTCTTAGCTCAACTGCAAATTTTGATGTCCACCATTTACATAATAATAATTGGGCTAGTCAGTGTTGTAGAGGATGTGAAGAGCAGTAAGACATACTCACCTTCGAGGAGTTTGCAGTTTAGTAAGAAAAAATAAGAAGCACACAAATGACTATAAGACACAATAGGCAAAGAGATGCCCCAGGCCCTTCTATACCCCAGCCAGTTCATGCCTCACTAAAAGTGGAAGAGGAAAGGGAGGTTACATATGTGATCTGTTATATAAAAGTGGTCTGGGGCAATTTGCAAAGGCAAACAATAATTTGACATGACTTTTCCTTTCCTCGGCCTTTTCCAGCTTTTCCTCACATTTCCCCCAGATTATATGTTCATTCAAAACCCATCCACTGCCTTTCTCCAGGCCCAACTGAGCCTCTTTCAGTTCAGCCACTAGGAAGCTAAGAAGATGGCCTCCACACCACCAGGCATGCACGCATACCTCCCCTTTATTAATGCCTGTTTTTCACTGTGCCATGCTTAAGGACAGCCTCAACCCCTTTTCATACTCGATATGATCCCTCCCATTTCGCTTCCAGTAGGTACAGTAATTTCATTCTGTTGCTAGTGGCTTCCTGGTTAATTGTGTTAAGATTCTGAGGCCAGATCTAGGATCAGCAGAATAATTGATTGTTTGAATGACAAGAGAAAGGGAAAGAGGGAATGGCAACTAAGTATTTCAAACACTGTACACTAGAAACCCGTTTCATTCACTCATTCATTCATTCATTCTTTCTACGTGTTTTCACACTCCAAAGATTTTGTACTTCTTATCTTGAAAAGCAGTTCCAAGAACATGTGTAACAGTTTTTAAATAATTATAAAAGTGGTCAGGGGAGGGGTGCTTGGGTGGCTCATTCAGTTAAGCATCTGACTTTTGATCTCAACTCAGGTCCTGATCTGTGGCTCAGCAGGGAGTCTGCTTGTCTCCCTCTCCTTCTGCCCCTTCTCCCGCTCACGCACATGGGCAAGTGTTTTCTCTTTCTCTCTCTGTCTCTAAAGTAATAAGTTTAAAAAAAAAAAAAAAGTGTGGGCATGGTCAGGGGAAAGGCCACAGTTCTTGAGAAAAATCTTGGCTGAGTTCATATTTTCTACTCTTCTTAGTTTCTTTGTGTATTTTTCTTCATGACTCCCTATGGTTTGTCAACTAGGTGGAGTCTTTGAAACAGCAAGCTAGCTTTAATTAAGAAAATTTGTTAAATTCCAGGCTTTAGAGAGTACTAGGACAGTTTCTTGGGTACAGTTTATATACCACTCATTCTTGAAGAATGCAGGATTTTTATCTCCCTGAAGGGATTTATGTTTCACAACTTTGATGTTGCCCAGTGTACAATGCTCAATTCTGTTGCAAGAGTTTGTAACTAAAATCACTCAAGAAGGAAACTAAAGCGGCTTAGCAACAAGCAGAGCCCCCATTACACATGTGGAGTGTGCTAGGTATTTTTGTACAGTGATCTTTTTGAATCCCCTCAAGACAAATGCTGAGCCCCTATTTCCAAACTTCCCCATTCTTAGATGCTTTCTTTGTGCTTCCACGTCCGTGACATCTCCTATCGCATTTACCATGTGACCATTATCTCTTGATAAGTGTGTCTCTTTCCCCAGACTGTGAGCTCCCTGAGGCTACCTAGAATGCTGTCACTTTTTTATCACTAGTACCCAGCGCATTTCCTATTGCATGATGACAATAAATATTATCGACAAAATGATAAAATTCATTTTACAGAGAACGGAGAAGAGCTGTGGAGAAGCTAAGTAATTTGCCCAAAGTCACTCAGTTAATAATTGTTAGAGCCGTTGATATAAAAGTCCATTAATTTTATGGCATTTCCTATTTGTTCCTATTTAATTCCACTTCTGGCTTCTGATTCTGTAGGATTTTTGTGTAACTATCCATGTGCTCTTTTATGTGTGTAATAATAGATAGTAGAGTGTCTGGTAGAACTACAGGATAGGTGTCTGGGTCAGTAAGGAGATGTACCATGAGATTAGCAAAAAGACTACTGAATTGTCACAGAGACAAAGTTCAGAAGTGATGGGGGGATGTGACTTCAAACTGAGAATTTGAGGTAGCTAAAAGCAGCATCCCTGATAACTATAAACTTGTTCGTTATCTACCCACAGATATTTTAGCGTTATACCTAATCCTTATCTTTTACACCCTTCTGTCATTTAATGATGGGCCAGACCACAGGCATTTTTCTGATAACTCCCTTGCCAAACTCAGTATTTTAATCTGTTATTTGTTCTTTTACATGTAACTGGAATCTCCTATAATTATTATATGCTTGTAGCATTTTTATTTTGAGTCTGTGAAAGCCATTCCTTGGTTAACACAACAGTGTTCTATTCATTCTTACCTGAAAGTACAGCTTATAGAGTAACGCTTCAGGAAGGGAAAAGTTTGAGGCACTTCCAATGAACTACCCATATTTGTGAAGATGTCTAGGAATTAATAAAAATAAATTTAAAGAAGGAAGAGCGTGTTCTGCATAATCTGGTATTTTTTTCTCGGATTCATGTGAGACATGAACTTTGCTCCTACCAATTACGTATTGGTTCTCCAGTTTTTGCAAGAAAATTCCCTTAGAAGCCTCTGTTTGGATACATGGTTTCATTTTGACTTATTATTAACAAAAACCATTTTTAGATTGATATTTTATAGAAATATCATAGAAAAAAATCAATTGTAATTTTTTATTAAAAACGTATTTTTTAACTTTATAAGAAACTTTTGGCTTTTATAATCCCACTATCTATTAGCAACTATCTTTATTTTTTATGATGTCTTCCAGTTTTCATTATGTATGTATGCATATTTATAATGAATTCATGCATATGTACGGTTTTATAAGGTTATAATAATAGTATTATGTGTAATAGTAATAGTATTATGTGTAATAACTTATTATAACCTTATATTAATAGTATTATGTAATACTATTATACTATTTATTATATATGATAAAACATAATATTGTATTTATTATACTATTATTACTATACTATTAACTATTATATACTAATATATATTATATATATAAAAAACAGTAACACTATTTTAGAAATACCTTTTTTCACTTAAAAGTGTTTTTGTAAGTTCTTATTTCTATTTGATTACTTTTTTAATTTTACAAAATCATATTATCAGTGCTAGAGTTTCAAAATATAATGCCATATTAACATGCCATAATTTTATTCAGTTGTTTCTCAAGTGATAAGTGAGTTCACAATTTTTCATTATTAAAAATAATATTTCTGAAAAAAAACAAAAAAAAATAAAAATAATAATTCTGTAAATACCTTGGTATGCTTAGCTCTTAATCTTGAAACATATTGCTAGGAGAATGATTACTACATCAAAGGAACTGAACATTTTGTCATTCTTGATATTCATTGGCCATTATATGTTTAAATCAATTGAAGTAAAGTTTGAAATGAAAGTAAGAATTTGGCATTATTTTATTTTTAACTTGCTTTAGTTCAGCTGTAGATATAAAATGTGTAGTCATGAACATTTTGAAATTTTTTTTTTTAAGATTTTATTTATTTGACAGAGACACAGCAAGAAAGGGAACAGGGGGAGTGGGAGAGGGAGGAGCAGGCTTCCCACTGAGCAGGGAGCCCGGTGCAGGGCCCAGACCCAGGACCCTGGGATCATGAGCTGAATCCAAGGCAGACACTTAATGACTGAGCCACCCAGATACCCCAACATTTTGAAATTTTCCAAAAATATGCCATTTTGTCTATTTTGTTGCAAGTGATACTAGCTTACTATCAAAAAGTCATGGCTGGATTCAGTTCTCTTTCTCATTCTTTGATTACCCAATGATATATTGCTATCATTCATTATTGGGTATTCTTCCAATAGAAAAGATGGCCTACATCTTTAAGACTCATGACTTCCATATATGAGATCTCATTGAAAGATTCTGATTATCCTTACTTGGCTCTAATGCCTACCCTGGACCAATCATTATGTCCATGAAGATGTAGTACTCTTATTGGTCCATCTTGGTCACATGTTGATGAGATGGAGCACAAGGCACTGTGACTGACAGCCCTCCCAAGGAGCCATGAATTTGGAAAGGTGATTTTCTTAGAGGGGTTATTGGTAGCCAGAAACAACATATCTGTTGTATGCATGACCTGTGTTGTTTTTAAACTTCTTTACATTTATAAATGTAAATGTAAACTTGACCCTATTTAAGATTGTGAAGTAAGGAAGTTTTACTTTCTCTCATCTCCCCTTTACTGCATCTTTCTTTCTCTTTTCTCTCAGACCTACCCTCCACTGTCCAGTGACCTAATAATCTTTCTAACCTGTTTCCTATCAAAACCTACTCTCAGTTAGTAGAGTTGAAAACAAACTGAAAAATCAAATTAAGACCCAGGATTCAAATTCCTATCTTCTTTAAAGTTGGTTTGTTTTTAATTGAGGACAATCAGAAAGGAGTAAGAAAGACAGAACTTTCAGGAGAGTAGGGACATCTGAGCACCTTCAGATATTGCCCTTTTGCTAAGAATTCATTTCCCCCCTTTATTTATAAAATATTTATTTATTTATTTGAAAGGGAGTGAAAGAGAGAGAGAGAACACAAGCTGGTGGGGGTGGTTTGCAGAGGAAGAAAAAACTCCCCACTGAGCAGGGAGCCTAATTCAGGGCTTGATCTCAGGGATCATGACCTGAACTGAAGGTAGATGCATAACCAACTGAGCCACCCTGTGAAACAGCACCTGTGAAAGGATGTAAGAGCTGCCCGGGACCTAGGATCTTGAACCCTTGAATACTGTCCATTCAGCTAGTCCCCAGAGAAAATATGCATGTAGAAAGCAAGGTGAGCCAATACATGCTCTCTATTCCCATGACACTATTGTGTAACGAAGTAGAAGTAGTCAAGAGCTTAGACTCTGGAGTCAGAACAGCCTGTGTGCAAATGTGGCTCTATCACTTATTACCTATATGATTTTGGGCAAGTGAGTTAACCTCTGGGAATGTTAGTACCTTTGAACATAAAATAGGGATAGTAATTTTTACCTTATGGTGCTGTGAGGACTAAAAGAGATAACGCATGCAGACTGCTTAGTTCGGTGCCTGGCACATAGTAAGGCCTCAGTAAATGAGAATTGCTTGATGATGATAAAGAAGAATGAAGAGGAGGAAGAAGAAGGGGGAGGAGGAGAAAGGAAGAAAAAAGAGGGGAAGGAGAGGAAAGGAAAAGGGAAGGGAAAAGAGGAAGAAAAGAGAAAGAAGGAGAAGGAAGAGGATATCATCTTCTGACCTGAAAGGAGAAATCATAATCCTTTTCATTTAGCTACAGGTGGGTCTTAGGGCCTAAAATAGTAATCTTCAAAAATTTTTGTTCTTACAGCTCCAAAATAATTTTTGTAAGCTGTGAAACCCCTCATGCATTTTTAAGTTTATATCTAAACTTTTTCATCATGAGTTTAAATAGTTAGATATTATTCCTGGCATTTTTATTTTTAAATAAAACTATTATATCACTTTTAGCTGCTAAGTTGTTAGAGTCCTTCACTTATCATTATCACAGGGTAATCACAAAAGAAGCCTATACCAAGACATCAAATAATTATACCCATTTTTCTTTCTCTTGGAAACAACTTGTTAATCCACCAGATTCAGAAAGGGAAATTGGAAATGAGTTAATTTCAATACACTTTTGTCATTACCATATGCTTAAAGTATATGTTCATAAAAATCTTGGAGCTACAGATTTCACTCATTTATTTTATGACTCTATTTGTTATTATACTTTAATTACCAAAGCTGGCCTAACCAGGTATCAGATTGTTTTTTTTCTTTAGGAAAATATTAACTCCCTATTCAATGGATATATACAGGTTGACAAAGGGAAGTGAATTCTTTTTGTTGTTGAAGATTTTATTGATTTATTTTGCAGAGAGAGAGCATAAGTAGGGAGAGCAGCAAGCAGAGGAAGAGGGAGAAGCAGGCTCTCTGCTGAGCAGGGAGCCTGATGCAGGGCTTGATCCCAGGATCTTGAGATCATGACCTGAGCCGAAGGCAGCCGCTTAACCAGCTGAGCCACCAAGGCGTCCCAGGAAAGTAAATTCTAAGTGTATGAGGTATGTACGTACACACACACACACACATCTACATAATTCACACATACGGTTTGAAGATCCAGGCCTCATACCAATAAAAGTAGGCTGTCTCCCTGTCATGGGCCCTTTCCATCTTAAAGCCACTTGAAAGTCCAGTGCTACATCAGTCTGACACTGAGAAGTGATCAACCCAAGGGAAAAGACACGAAACTGAGAAAATGTTTTGGGCTACAGCCCATTCCTGTACCCAAGCTGTGTTGCACTTGTGTCTGACTCAGCTTGGGCGGGAGGTGAGTAAAGGCCCAAGATGTGCTTATGAAATATGACAGTAGAAGTGAACTGAAATTCAAACCTGAGCTGTATGTCCAAATACTGTATGGGAATCTGGGTGCCTGAGTGGCTCAGTGGGTTAAGCATCTGACTCTTGATGTCAACTCAGGTCACGATCTCAGGGTCTTGAGATCGAGCCCATGTCAGGCTCCTCACTCAGTTCAGAATCTGCTTGTCCTCTCTCTCTGCTCCGCTCCCAACTTGCACTCTCTCTCTCTCAAATAAATAAATAAAATCTTTTTTAAAAATTACTGTATAGGAATCACACATACAACGTAAGCATTGCCAATGCGACATGTGATGTAGTTCCATCTGAGTTTTTACTATTGGATTCATAGACAGATTGCAGTCGCTGTGGACACCTAATGTACTGCTTGCAGCGGTCTAGATGAGTTCCACATTTCTGGGAATGCAATTTGATAATGCATATCAAAATTTTAAAAGAGGACTGTAATCAGGAAGGGTTGGGATGTATTCTGAGGGCCAGTAATGTTCTATTTCTTGACTTGGGTGGTAGATACACTTGTTTACTTTATAACCGTTAGTTAAAGCAGGTAAGTCGGATGTATTTTTTCTCTATGTTATAGTTCACAATTAAAATATTGTTGTAAAATATACTTAATTGGCTATTCACTTTAAATAACTCTTCCATAGTTTAAAAAGGTTGTAGGAATGATTCTAGATGATTGTTTATAATAGCAAAAAATGAAAACTAAAAATCCAATACTAAGGGGTTGGTTCAATAAAGCACAGTGTAAACATACACTGGAACACTATACAGCTTTTTTTTTTTAAGATTTTTATTTTTTTATGTGACACAGAGAGACACACAGCAAGAGCGGGGACACAAGCAGGGGAAGTGGGAGAGGGAGAAGTAGGCTTCCCGCTGAGCAGGGAGTCTGATGCGGGGCTCCATCCCGGGATGCCAGGATCAGGACCTGAGCTGAAGGCAGGTGACAACTGAGCCGCCCAGGTGCCCCACTATACAGCTTTTTAAAAATTACATACAGATAAATATATACTGAGATAGAAAGGGTTCATGGCATAAGGTGAGAAACAAACTGTAGAAATTAGGTTTGGTAAAATCCCTTTTCACTTAAAAATCATATAATCCATATATGAAGAACAATTTCTGGAAATAACTTAACCAGAATATCAATAGTGGAATTGTGAATATTTTACCTCTTTCTGCCTATCCATGTTTTTTAATTTTTTAAATAAATTTGTTTTATTATTTTGATAAGAAAAAAATGTAATTTTTAACTTATAAAAACTCACTTATCCTTTGATTCAGCAGCAAGCCTTATTGGCATTATTCTCATTTTTGGCCTTTCTGATTTTTAAATAAAATATACATCTTACAAGGATAACCAGTTCTTCTCATAAATCCTTATATTTGGGGCACCTGGATGGCCCAGTTTGCTAAGTGTCTGCCTTCTGGGGTCCTGATCCAGGGTCCTGGGATTGAGCCCCATGTTGGGCTCTCTGCTCAGCAGGGAGTCTGCTTCTCGCTCTCCCTCTGCCTGTGGTTCCCTCTGCTTATGTATGCTCTCTGTCTCTCTCTCTCTCTCTCTGTCAAATAAATAAGCAAAATCTTAAAAAAACTAAACACTTATATTTTAAAATATTAGTATATTTTGTTTATTGACAATCTGGATGGAGTCAGACATTGTGAGACTTTAAGTTAATTTCATGTTTTAAGTTTTAATCTCTATAAGAAATACTTTCTAAAATCAAAACTGTTACTAAAAAAGGAACCTACTTTGGTGGTTTCAAAAACCCACCTTTTTTTAGGGACACCTGGGTGGCTTAGTTGGTTAAACAACTGCCTTCGGCTTAGGTCATGATCCTGGCGTTCCGGGATCCAGTCCCACATCAGGCTCCCTCTGCTTCTCTCTCTGACCCTCCCCCGCCTCACTCTTTCTGACCCTCCCACTCTCTCTCATTCTCCCTCTCTCAAATAAGCAAATAAAATCTTAAAAATTATATAATACTTTTTTAAGAAAGCAGGCAGGATTGAATGATATTATTTTAAAAATTTGCTTGCTTACCAATTCTCAGTCTTTTAGATAAAGACCTAATTTGAGAGTGATATTCATGTTACAGATTTCACATTTACTATCACATTATTAAATTTCTTCTTAGAGGTACTTAGTGTCTCATTTTCATGAGGAAGTATACTCATTTGTAGAACAGGAAACAGAATGAACCATGAAATGCACCATTGCTGCGGTTAACCACATCTGCCACTGGGTGGCTCTGCTGTTTCACCCCGTTTGCTATCTCTGCTGGTGGAAGTTTCCAATAAAACCCAAGATGAAGAGTCAGGCTTTATTTACAGAATGCGTAATTAGGAACTGATGCAGCATTTACATTCCCAACATTTTATTTAGAAACAGTTCTGCTCGTGTATGCACTATTTTCTTGTGTTCTTTGATAACTGGGCATTTGATTTGCCAAGGAAAGGAAGGGGAAAGTTGTTTTTTTTTTCTTCTTAACATCTCATCATTTCCTATTCCAATTTTTTAATCAGAACCAAAAATTCTTCATTTGTGTCATCTTAGCTACTTTCATAGCTATCATTTAAGAGTCCTATAATAAAATAATTCCAGTAGAAACAAGAAAAGTTAACCACTAGACAGGAACTTAGTATCTTCTTTTGGAAAGGTAGAAAGGTACCTCTTTTGTAGAGGTAGCTTTTGCCTCTAAAAAAATGTCATTGTGTTCTGGTGAGGACTCGTGAGTAGAAGACAGAAATAAACCCCAGAAATGCATCATTAGCCTCTGAATAAGGGATCCTTAAGGCTAAATCTCTTTGGAATTACAGATCTACACCTTGGGTTTAATCATAATTTAGGAGCCTGACCTCAGTTTTTATTATTTGATGCCATTATATTTGCATTTCATGCATTTATGATAAAATTTGTTTCTCCATCCTGCTTTCTTTTAGTCTAACTTTTCAACCCCAAATCTGTTCCCATCTTTCTCCTTTTTTTATGTCCCTTTTCATTTGCTAGGTTGAACATATAATTTTTGAATGAGAGTCATTGTTTTAAAAAGTCTGCTTTAGCCCTGAATCATTCCTTCAGAGGAAAGGAATTCTAGAAATCTAACATAAATGGTTCAGAGCTTCAGATGCCCCTGTGAACACAGTGACATGAATACTTGAGTTGTAATCACTGCTATTTAATAAATTAGCTGTATAACTGATTTACTAATGTGCTTGGGAAAACTAATGAATGATGGGATCAGATTTAAAAAATTGAATTCAGACAACAGTGAAAGTAGAAAGAGAACATATTTTTGATGCTACACACTATAAATAGAGTAACTAAGAACAGAATTTGGTGTAGACTACAGAACTCCAAGGGAGAAAGTAGAAATTAAACAAGTTCACCTTATCAGGAAAAAAATACAGTCATGACTTAGAAAATACATAATTTTAAACATATTCAAATAGATAAGGAAGAAGTAATGTAGGATCTTGGATACCAGGTTTGGGAATAATTTAATCTCATAGAGTTTTTTGCAGAAGGGGAGAAGAATAAGGAATCTGATTGGTAATCAAAGAGAGAATAAATCACAGCTATTATTCTGCCTGAGAAGATTAATGCACACAAAACCCTAGAAGCCCAGTCATGCCATATATCCCAAGGGTGGGTCAAATCCCTATGCAGTCAGAAACAGGATTATTTGCATAGTGTGGGAGCCAAATGGGAGCAAACATACCCATCCCAAGTCTTCTGGGATTAGATTTATATTTTTTTGAATGAAACTCTACAGTGGCTGAATCTCATGGGATACGAGCTTATATTTGAATAACAACTCTTAAATGGGGCTAAATCTATAACATTCTTCATCCATAAATAGACTTGTGTCAACAAAATTTTAGATCAAAAATGTTTTTAATATTCCTAAATGTCTCATTAGTGCAAATATTCAGTTCCCTCTTGCTGCAACTTGAGTCCATTGTTACTTTTTTTTAATAATGAGATGTTTCCAGGGTATAGAAAATTATAAAGAATCATAGAATGAACTTCCAGGTGCCCATTATACAGCCAAGACAATTTTTAACATTTTCCTTATTTGCCTGAGCATTTTCCTAAGAATTTTTTAATACAACTGAAATATTTTAGATAACAGAAGAAATCCCTGGTATTATCTCTCCTAACTCCACTGCCTATCATCCTTCCCTTCAAGTAACCACTACCATGAATTTGGTGTTTATCATCCCATGCATGTTTTTATAGTTTGACAACATAAGTGTATGTATTCCTAAATAAAATATATATATAAATGAACATTTTAACCTTTTCTAAAAATAGCACCATATTTTATATAGCCTTCTGCAATTTGCTTTTTTTACTTAACATTGTATTTTTAAAATTTACCCATTTTGAGAATATTACTCAGCCATTAAAAAAAAAATGAAATCTTGCCATTTGCAACAACATGGGTGGACTGAGAGGGTATTATGCTAAGTGAAATAAGTCAGAGAAAGACAAATGCCATATGATTTCATTCATATGTGGAATTTAAAAACCAAACAAGCAAACAAAGAACAAAAAAAGAGAGAAACCAAAAAACTCTTCACTACAGAGAATAAACTGCTTGTTACTAAAGGAGAGATAGGTGGGAAGATGAGTGAAACAGGTGAAGGGGATTAAGAGGACACTTAATCCTGATGAGCG